GGACCAGAGTTTGTGGCCCCCGCCCCGGCTCGCGCCCACTTACCCTGCGGGGTGGCCTGAGCGCCGCCCCCCAGCCACGGCTGCAGGGCCAGGTGCAGCAGGAGCAAGGCGGCTCCTCGCGGGGCCAGCATGTTGGCTTTTCCTGCTCCCCGCGGGCGCCCGCGAGTCACACAGCAGCGGGGTCCCGCCTGGGTGTGCGGGCGGCGCGCGGCCCCTGGGTCGGGCTCCCGCGGGCGGCGCAGGTGAGCGGAGCGCGACGAGCGGGCTGCCGTCGGGGGCGGCTCTCGCGTCCTGGCGCCGCAGGGATGGGTGCGCCGGCGGCTGGGCTGGGCGCTTTATGGTCTGGCCGGCCCGGGGAGGGGGAGGGCCCAGGCGGGGGCGGCCCCGTGGGCTGGGATCTCCTCCCACCGGGAAGCGTGGGGGCGGCGGACAGAAAGGCGTGAGCACTGGGACTGGGGACGCGAAAGATACCCCGCAAGCCGGTCTCGGGGTGGGTGGGCGTAGTCGCCGGCCCGGGACCGGCGAGGGGGTTTAGGAGGATGGGAAGAGCGAGGGTGGGCAGCAGGGGGCTGGTGGGAAAGTGAGGACGCGCAGGACAGGGTAGAGATGAAGGAGAAGAAAGGGGCAAAGGAGGAAGGAAGGAACACTGGCCCGCTAGCGCTAGGCACCATCAGTCTCCTACCTCTGGTACTCCTTTTGTTTTCCAAACAGAAGAACGTTCTTTGGACAGGCTTTTAAGGCCCATCTTGGATTCTTTTCCCCAAGGAACCCTGAAGGATCTCCAGGAACGTCGCCCCCTAAGATGGTCCAGAGAACAATTGGATTCTTTTATTTCTTCAAGCTTGTCTTGAATACTTCAGATGTTGACTTTTTCCCATCAAGTTTTGAGACATAAACAGTGAATGTTTCAAAGTTTTTGAGTTTTTAGCAGAAGTAAAACACATCTTAAAGAATCCATCCAGACAGAACCATTTACAGGATGGTAGCGTTTTATGGAGAATTTATTTTCAGTCCAGTTTCCGAACACTCTGCCCACTTCTGTTTCGCCTTCCCAAAAGGTTCCATGTGACAGTTTAAAGCTATGGTGGTAGGACCTAAAAGAGACAGAAGGAACATAAGGAATTACTCTTCCTCCTAGGCAAAGCTCCCTAAAAATAATGTGGATTAACGAGAGGAAAAAATATTTCAGAACAATGGCAAACTTTTCCCTCTTAAACAATCTTGACTAATGGAGAAAACCCAGCGAAGTATTTATATCCCTATTTTTAGGTCTCAGAGAATCCCACTTCAAAGTTTAAGAAGCTGTCTGCCACAAGCTGGAAGATTAACTCATTTTACTCCCAAACTGCTGGAATGACCCTTCGCTAATTATGATTCCATTTACAGCTAATGACCTGGAAATTTGTGAGCTAAATTCAGAGCTCATTTCTATTTGAGGTCTAACATAGTTCTAATCCAGGCTTCATTTAATGCCACATTACACTAAAGTCACTGTATGGTGTGGACTGCCATATGCCTATGTTGTGAGAGAGCCCCGAAGAGACAAAGGGTGCATGTTTCCAGCAATGTGACTACACTAATGAGATGGATTAGACTAGAGACTCTTCACGTCTCCAAACAGTGTCCTCCGGAGTGGCCTGGGTTGGAGGGGGCTCCAGGCTCCCAACTTCTACTTTAAGCACAATAGCTTTCCTTGTATAAGTTTTATACAATGGATTTTAGAGTAAGTTATTGGAAGGCAGATACCATTTTTTAAGTCATCTTTGTTTAGTCATCTTTGCCAGGCATCCCCTAATCTAGCAAATTCCCATCAAAATGGCTTAAACAAGTAGGCACATAACGAATTTTGGTTGAAACTGGATGACTACTAAGTGTAATTGAGCAACAGAAGGATCAGATGACTTTCTGCTAGCCTAAGGGAACTTACAATTTAGTTTTGCTTCTAAAAGAGACTGCATTTTTAATGAAGCCATTCTTTGGGGATTCTCAATCAGCTTTTTCTTCCTATCCTCAGAATCAGGAGGAATTTTGAATACAATAAAATGCATTAAATTGGCTGTGAAATATGTGGTAAAGGAAGAGAAAGGGTTAATCAGTTTATTTTCTGTGCCACCTCATTAAAATATCTGATGTTAACACTTAACATACTGAATTTTAATTTAAGAATGTATTAATTTACTTAACTTCTCCCCAGTATCAGACTGTGAGCTCTTTGGCACGCTCTCATTTATTTTTGTAGTCCTAATTCTGAGTACAATGCTGGTACCTGATAATGAGTAGCTCATTGAACTGGCTTTCCTTCTCTGAGTACTGTAAAGCAGGATAAGAGGCTGTGATATGTTGCCATCCATTCGTGCCGTGGATTGCAAAAGCAGTCTCAGCGCTTCTATACAGATCCTTTGCTTTCCTGTTGTAAGCCTAGGCTTAGCCATGTAGCTTTCTTGGTCAATAGGAATTTAGCAAAAGTCCTACAAGCAGAAGCTTTAAACGTACTTGTGTGATGGGACTTGCTTACTCTTTCACACTTGCCTCTGCTGTGATAGCGTGGTCGTGCTAGCCCGCTGGAGGATGAGACACGGTGCAGAGCTAATTCACCACAGTCATCGTAGGCAAAGCCACCTGAGAGCAGGTGACAGCTGCTGACTCACACAGGTGGGTAGATTCAGGCAAGATCAGCAGAGCCCTGTTGTTGACTCCAGACATGAGAGCAACAAATGTTTATTTCTGTATGCCATTAAGATTTGGGGGTTGTTTGTTATGCAACATAATTATAGCAGTACGATGTTATTGTAGCAACTGATAGACTAGGTTTCATTCCATTTTTAACTGTTGTAACACAGAGTATTACCCCATTTTTGATAATTGCTGACAGCTCTCAAGCTTCACCATTCCCCTTCCTCTTGGTCCCACGTCTGAGCAAGTTGATAAGAAAGCCTGGGGGCTCCTTCCTTTGGTGCTGGTAGGGAGTTCAAACTGTGCAAGCCCTAGACCCTGCACGGGAGCTCCCTCCCCAGCCCCATCCCGCTGCCGTCCTGAAAACCCCAAAGCCAGTCTCCTTTCCCTGCTCTCTCAAGCCATCCTCAGACCAGCTGGGGAACCCATCCTACTCTCACCAGAAAGCCTCGCTGTGGGAGTAAGATACCTTTTGAAGCCATTTTGCTGCTGGGAGTAGGGCTCTCTCCTCGTGCGCCTGTTCTTCAGGAGTGGGAGTAGGTCCTCCTATTACAGACTGCTATTTGGCATAGCTGAGTAGAAGCTTTATACATATTTGTTAATCGATATTTGAATAAAGTTAGTTATCATTAGTTATGTCAAGTTTTCCAGTTGAATTCTTGAAGGGAATCGACATGGAAGATAATTCTTACCATTTAAAGACAGTTTAAAGGGAATATGGTTTACACTCTAGCGTGTGAGGACATCCACCCCACAGCACTGGAGAATGTGGACTTCGGGCTACTATTTAGTTTAGTGTTGATAACAAAGGGGGGTTCTTGACTAAGTGACAGGAAAATAGCTTCTCTAGCAACTAGTTAACACACGGAAGGGCCTAGTAAATGAAGCAGGGGGCTTTTGATTAGTGTGCAATTAAAATTAAAACCTTTTTTTCAGAACTCAAAAAAAGATACTTTAGCAATTAGGCACTGAAGATCAGTGGAGCAAGAAAAGAAGTACGTAAAATCACTCATTTTCAATCTCACTAAGGGTCTAAGTAGACTATTTAAAAATTCTCATTAAGCCTCTTTAATATACTTTACTAAATACTGTGTAAAAATTCCTTAGGAAAATAGCCAAAAATGCAACTGTGAGGACATTAATTACAGATAACTATGTCTACCCAACTTGAAGGCCAGAGAGTTTGGACAACTGGCATTTCTTAAAGTAACTGCTCTGCTTCATTAAAAAATACATTAATCCATCCAAATGGTGGTTTCTGCAATGTCTAGTGGTAACAGTGACTACTGTGCCAGGAGAATCCCAAACTTAGTGCTGGATGTCTAAATGTATTCGCCGAGAGAATATGAAGCAAAGTGCAATGAAATAATAGGGCATGAAGCAAACTTGCAAACTACACTAAAATTCTATTCATTTGTGTGTAAGGAGTTTAGAATTGGAGATAATTTGATGGGAATTGGATTGACATTCATCTATGGAAACAAACAGTTTGTAGGCAAATTAATAGTATTACTTGAATTCCCAAGGGCATATTTAACTTTACTAAAAGAACTAACACATGAAGGATTTTAGTAGTTAACTGTCCTCATGAAAATTGGTACTGCTAATTATAAATGAGCCCTAACAAGTTCGTAGAGGAGCTGGAGAGTATATATATATGTATTTTTTTTCCAACTTTAATTCTAAAATTATGTCTGTACTGCCATCAAATCACTGACAGAAGTGTTGAGTTAGAAAGAATATTTGCCTATCAATCATGAAATCTTAGAGTTTCTTCTCATTAATCAGTTATCCAACAAATAATTATTATGTGTTTGTTCATTAATTCACTCAACAAACATTTCTGGACAGTTTTCTAGAACACACCACGCACTGTGTTAGACAGTGGCCCTATAACGAGGAACAAAACACAGTTCTTGTTCTCCAGCTCAGAGTCTGCTCCAAAAAACAGAGAGATAAATAATATGATAAAGGCTCTAACAGACGTGTATCCTAAGAAATAAGGAAATGCTGAGGAGAGAGCAACTTGTAGTTAAAAAGAATTAGGAGTTACTTGCTAGAAGAGCTGGCTTTTCATTGGGGTCATGAAGGATGAGGAGGCATTCTCTGCGCAGCAAAGGGAAGAACACTGCAGGCAGAGGGGATGCTTGTTATGTGCAAGACCGTGGAGGGAGATGTCAAGATGATGTCTGGGGTCCTGACCTGGGCTGCCTGGCAGATCATAGTGCCATTCACTGAGACTTGATGATTTGGCTCAGCTATGTTGAGGGGGAGGCACCTTCAGGACATTCAAGTGGAGCTGTCCATGAGGTGTGTAGTTTCGTGGGTCTGTAACTCAGGAGAGAGGCTTAGCGGTGTGGGTATCATTCATTTACAGGTAGCAACTAAAGCTGCAGGTGTAGATGAGGCCACCTAAGAAGCATGTGTAAGATGAGGAAAGAACACTGAGGGACACTAATGTTCAGAGCTGGTAGAGAAGGAGGAGGCAGCAGAAAGATGTAAATGAAAATTGGGAAAGCATGGTATCTGGGAGGCATGGTGAACAGTAGCAATACTGTGGAAAAGTCAAGCAAGATAAGAACTAAAAACTGTGCTTGGGCTTATCAACACGGAAGTCATTGATGACTCTGTTGAAAGCAGCTGGATGGAGTAGTGTGGGTGAAAGGAAACCAGAGTACTGCCATTTGAAGCGTGAGAATGACACACGAGGAAGTGGAGATAATAAGGGTAATAATAAAAGTAAGATAACTTTCAGGAAGCTTGCCTGTGGTCTGAAATGTGGAGATAGGGCAGTAACTATTGGGGGAGACTAGGGACATATTTTGATGTAGATAGAATAGAGCTGCCAGGGAGGGAGTTGCTGATGCGTGAGTTTTCTTAACCTAGGGGCACTGAAAGTTTAACTAGCATCATGTAGTGGTCTACTAAATTTGATATTTTGTTTTCTTATAATAGTTTTTGTTTTCTGTGTCACATCAATCCTCTAACAGCATGACCTTCACAAGAATGAAGGCTGTCTTACTATGGATAACACTAAGGAGATTCCTTAAAAAAACTAAAAATAGATTTACCATATGACCCGGCAATCCCACTCCTGGGCATATATCTGGAGGAAACACTGATTTGAAACAATACAAGCACTTCAATGTTCACAGCAGCACTATTTACAATAGCCAAGCCATGAAAGCAGCCTAAGTATCCATCAAGAGATGACTGGATAAAGAAGTTTGGTGTGTGTGTGTGTATATATATATAATGGAATACTACTCAGCCATAAAAAGAATGAAATAATGCCATTTGCAGCAACATGGATGGACCTAAAGATTATCATATTAAGTGAAGTAAGTCAGACAGAGAAAGACAAATATTGTATGATATCACTTATATGTAGAATCTAAAAAGAATGACACAAATGAACTTA